ACATGCACCTCATGTGTCACCACGGACGGTACATGCACCTCATGTGTCACCACGGACGGTACGTGCACCTCATGTGTCACCACGGACGGTACGTGTACCTCATGTGTCACCACGGACGGTACATGTACCTCATGTGTCACCACGGACGGTACGTGCACCTCATGTGTCACCACGGACGGTACGTGTACCTCATGTGTCACCACGGACGGTACGTGCACCTCATGTGTCACCACGGACGGTACGTGCACCTCACGTGTCACCACGGACGGTACATGCACCTCATGTGTCACCACGGACGGTACATGCACCTCATGTGTCACCACGGACGGTACATGCACCTCATGTGTCACCACGGACGGTACGTGCACCTCATGTGTCACCACGGACGGTACGTGCACCTCACGTGTCACCACGGACGGTACATGCACCTCATGTGTCACCACGGACGGTACATGCACCTCATGTGTCACCACGGACGGTACATGCACCTTATGTGTCACCACGGACGGTACATGCACCTCATGTGTCACCACGGACGGTACATGCACCTCATGTGTCACCACGGACGGTACGTGCACCTCATGTGTCACCACGGACGGTACATGCACCTCATGTGTCACCACGGACGGTACATGCACCTCATGTGTCACCACGGACGGTACATGCACCTCATGTGTCACCACGGACGGTACATGCACCTCATGTGTCACCACGGACGGTACGTGCACCTCATGTGTCACCACGGACGGTACATGCACCTCATGTGTCACCACGGACGGTACGTGTACCTCATGTGTCACCACGGACGGTACGTGCACCTCATGTGTCACCACGGACGGTACGTGTACCTCATGTGTCACCACGGACGGTACGTGCACCTCATGTGTCACCACGGACGGTACGTGTACCTCATGTGTCACCACGGACGGTACGTGCACCTCATGTGTCACCACGGACGGTACATGTACCTCATGTGTCACCACAGACGGTACATGCACCTCATGTGTCACCACGGACGGTACATGCACCTCATGTGTCACCACGGACGGTACGTGTACCTCATGTGTCACCACGGACGGTACGTGCACCTCATGTGTCACCACGGACGGTACGTGTACCTCATGTGTCACCACGGACGGTACGTGCACCTCATGTGTCACCACGGACGGTACGTGCACCTCATGTGTCACCACGGACGGTACATGCATCTCATGTGTCACCACGGACGGTACATGCACCTCATGTGTCACCACGGACGGTATATGTAACTCATGTGTCACCACGGACGGTACATGTACCTCATGTGTCACCACGGACGGTACATGTACCTCATGTGTCACCACGGACGGTACATGCACCTCATGTACCGTAGGGAAACGCAAGTTCTAATCAGTTGTGTATTTGTGAAGTCTTTGAATATATATATATATATATATATATATATATATATATATATATATATATATATATATATATATATATATATATATATATATATATATATATGTCGTACCTTGTAGCCAGAACGCACTTCTCAGCCTAATATGCAAGACCAAATTTGCCTAATAAGCCAAGTTTTCATGAATTAATTGTTTTTCGACTACCTAACCTACCTAACCTAACCTAACCTAACTTTTTCGGCTACCTAACCTAACCTAACCTATAAAGATATGTTAGGTTAGGTTAGGTAGGGTTGGTTAGGTTCGGTCATATATCTACGTTAATTTTAACTCCAATCAAAAAAATTGACCTCATACATAATGAAATGGGTAGCTTTATCACTTCATAAGAAAAAAATTAGAGAAAATATATTAATTCAGGAAAACTTGGCTTATTAGGCAAATTGGGCCTTGCATAGTAGGCTGAAAAGTGCGTTCTGGCTACTAGGTACGACATATATATATATATATATATATATATATATATATATATATATATATATATATATATATATATATATATATATATATATATATTCAAAGACTTCACAAATACACAACTGATTAGAACTTGCGTTTCCCTGATTTTATATCTACATTTGAGTGAGGTGGGAAGGGTGATGTGGCATTACATTTGAGTGAGGTGGGAAGGATGATGTGGCATTAACACAAGACAGAACACTAGAGGATATTAATAGGGTATTAAAAGTATCAACACAAGACAGAACAGAAACAATGGGTATTGAATAGAAGTGTTTGTAGAAAGCCTATTGGTCCATATTTCTTGATGCTTCTATATTGGAGCGGAGTCTTGAGGTGGGTAGAATATAGTTGTGCAATAATTGGCTGTTGATTGCTGGTGTTGACTTCTTGAAGTGTAGTGCCTCGCAAACATCAAGCCGCCTGCTATCGCTCAAGACTCCGCTCCAATATAGAAGCATCAAGAAATATGGACAAATAGGCTTTCTACAAACACTTCTATTCAATACCCATTGTTTCTGTTCTGTCTTGTGTTGATACTTTTAATACCCTATTAATATCCTCTAGTGTTCTGTCTTGTGTTAATGCCACATCATCCTTCCCACCTCACTCAAATATATATATATATATATATATATATATATATATATATATATATATATATATATATATATATATATATATATATATATATATATATATATGTGTGTGTGTGTGTGTGTATAAAGTATATATGGAAGCTGATCAGAATTACATTTCACCTTTGTAAATGCACATTAATGACACTATTTAAAAGACACATCGACCACTTTATGAAGGGCTGACGTTACTCTGTGCATCTATGTATTTATGTAGGTTAGATTAGCATTTTAAAAGCATTACAATCACCTTTTGTGGTTGATTGTTCAAAAATCCCTGAACTATATGTTCAACAAATCTCTCACTCTGTCCATGGAGGACAGAAGAAAATGTATATATGCTGGTTAGCATTGTAAATGTCTGGCCACGTCTGTGGTAGACAAAACAACTGAAGTGTGAGGTTGTACCATATATGCTGCACGTACCGTCCGTGGTGACACATGAGGTGCACGTACCGTCCGTGGTGACACATGAGGTACACGTACCGTCCGTGGTGACACATGAGGTACACGTACCGTCCGTGGTGACACATGAGGTACACGTACCGTCCGTGGTGACACATGAGGTGCACGTACCGTCCGTGGTGACACATGAGGTACACGTACCGTCCGTGGTGACACATGAGGTACACGTACCGTCCGTGGTGACACATGAGGTGCACGTACCGTCCGTGGTGACACATGAGGTACACGTACCGTCCGTGGTGACACATGAGGTACACGTACCGTCCGTGGTGACACATGAGGTGCACGTACCGTCCGTGGTGACACATGAGGTGCACGTACCGTCCGTGGTGACACATGAGGTACACGTACCGTCCGTGGTGACACATGAGGTGCACGTACCGTCCGTGGTGACACATGAGGTACACGTACCGTCCGTGGTGACACATGAGGTGCACGTACCGTCCGTGGTGACACATGAGGTGCACGTACCGTCCGTGGTGACACATGAGGTGCACGTACCGTCCGTGGTGACACATGAGGTACACGTACCGTCCGTGGTGACACATGAGGTACACGTACCGTCCGTGGTGACACATGAGGTGCACGTACCGTCCGTGGTGACACATGAGGTGCACGTACCGTCCGTGGTGACACATGAGGTACACGTACCGTCCGTGGTGACACATGAGGTGCACGTACCGTCCGTGGTGACACATGAGGTACACGTACCGTCCGTGGTGACACATGAGGTGCACGTACCGTCCGTGGTGACACATGAGGTGCACGTACCGTCCGTGGTGACACATGAGGTACACGTACCGTCCGTGGTGACACATGAGGTGCACGTACCGTCCGTGGTGACACATGAGGTGCACGTACCGTCCGTGGTGACACATGAGGTACACGTACCGTCCGTGGTGACACATGAGGTGCACGTACCGTCCGTGGTGACACATGAGGTGCACGTACCGTCCGTGGTGACACATGAGGTACACGTACCGTCCGTGGTGACACATGAGGTGCACGTACCGTCCGTGGTGACACATGAGGTACACGTACCGTCCGTGGTGACACATGAGGTGCATGTACCGTCCGTGGTGACACATGAGGTGCATGTACCGTCTGTGGTGACACATGAGGTACATGTACCGTCCGTGGTGACACATGAGGTGCACGTACCGTCCGTGGTGACACATGAGGTACACGTACCGTCCGTGGTGACACATGAGGTGCACGTACCGTCCGTGGTGACACATGAGGTACACGTACCGTCCGTGGTGACACATGAGGTGCACGTACCGTCCGTGGTGACACATGAGGTACACGTACCGTCCGTGGTGACACATGAGGTGCATGTACCGTCCGTGGTGACAGGTCCCTATTCCTGACTGTTTTTCCATTCCTGACTGTGATTCCCCATTCCTGACTGTCTCCCTATTCATGACTTTCTAATTCCCTTTCCTGACTGTGTCTCCGCATTCATGACTGTCTACTCTTTCCTGACGGTCTCTCAATTTCTGACTGTGTCTAATTCCCATTGCTTACTGTGTCGCCCCATTTCTGACTGTATTTCCACATACCTGACTGTATCTCTCATTGCTGACTGACTCCCTATTCTTGACTGTCTCCCCATTGCTGGCTGTGTCTCCCCATTCTTGACTGTCTCCATATTCCTTACTGTATCTCCCCATTCCTGACAATGTCTCCCCATTGTTGACTGTGTCTCCCTATTCTTGACTGTCTCTCTATTCCTGACTGTGTCTTCCCATTCCTGATTGTATCCCTATTCCTGACTGTGTCTCTCAATTCCTGACTGTTTCTCCCCATTCCTGACTGTCTCCCCATTCCTGACTGTCTCCCCATTCCTGACATGTGTCTCTCCATTCCTCAATGTCTCCTCATTCCTGACTCTATCTCCCCTTTCCTGACTGTGTCTCTCTATTGCTGACTGTGTCTCCCATTCCTGACATGTGTCTCCCCATTCCTGGCCGTGCAGGAGAACAAGGACTGCTTCCATGGGGAGTACTGCCGGGAGCAGCAGGCGTGCACGTGTCAGCGGGACTTTGTACGTGAGCCAGGCGGGGCGTGCTTGGCCCTGAGGCGTGTTGGCGAGCCGTGCAGAGTCGACCAGCAGTGTTCCAGGCTCGACCCCCGTCTGCTCTGTCACCACGGACGGTACGTGCAGCTCCTCTCTCACTATGGACAGTACTTACAGCTTCTCTGTCACCACTAACAGTACGTGCAGCTTCTCTGTCACCACGGATGGTACGTGCAGCTCTGTCACCACTGACAGTACGTGCAGCTTCTCTGTCCCCACGGATGGTACGTGTACTCCTTTTGTTAACTCGGACGGTACGTGCAGCTCCTGTCACCTCAGATGGTTCGTGCAGCTTCTCTGTCACCACTGACGGTACGTGCAGCTGTCACCACGGATGGTACGTGCAGCTCTGTCACCACAGACGGTACGTGCAGCTCTGTCACCACGGACGGTACGTGCAGCTCTGTCACCACTGACGGTACGTGCAGCTCTGTCACCACGGACGGTACGTGCAGCTCTGTCACCACTGACGGTACGTGCAGCTCTGTCACCACGGACGGTACGTGCAGCTCTGTCACCACTGACGGTACGTGCAGCTCTGTCACCACTGACGGTACGTGCAGCTCTGTCACCACGGACGGTACGTGCAGCTCTGTCACCACGGACGGTACGTGCAGCTCTGTCACCACGGACGGTACGTGCAACTCTGTCACCACTGATGGTACGTGCAGCTCTGTCACCACTGACGGTACGTGCAGCTGTCACCACTGATGGTACGTGCAGCTCTGTCACCACGGACGGTACGTGCAGCTCTGTCACCACGGTCGGTACGTGCAGCTCTGTCACCACTGATGGTACGTGCAGCTCTGTCACCACGGACGGTACGTGCAGCTGTCACCACGGACGGTACGTGCAGCTCTGTCACCACGGACGGTACGTGCAGCTCTGTCACCACGGACGGTACGTGCAGCTCTGTCACCACGGACGGTACGTGCAGCTCTGTCACCACGGACGGTACGTGCAGCTCTGTCACCACGGACGGTACGTGCAGCTCTGTCACCACTGACGGTACGTGCAGCTCTGTCACCACTGACGGTACGTGCAGCTCTGTCACCACGGACGGTACGTGCAGCTCTGTCACCACTGACGGTACGTGCAGCTCTGTCACCACGGACGGTACGTGTAGCTCTGTCACCACTGACGGTACGTGCAGCTCTGTCACCACTGACGGTACGTGTAGCTCCTCTGTCATCACGGACGGTTATCTTGAGGTTATCTTGAGATGATTTCGGGTCTTTTTTTTTTGTGTCCCCGCGGCCCGGTCCTCGACCAGGCCTCCACCCCCAGGAAGCAGCCCGTGACAGCTGACTAACACCCAGGTACCTATTTTACTGCTAGGTAACAGGGGCATAGGGTGAAAGAAACTCTGCCCATTGTTTCTCGCCGGCGCCTGGGATCGAACCCGGGACCACAAGATCACAAGTTCAGCGTGCTGTCCGCTCCGGCCGACCGGTACGTGCAGCTCTGTCACCACGGACGGTACGTGTACCTAATGTGTCACCACGGACGGTACGTGTACCTCATGTGTCACCACGGACGGTACATGCACCTCATGTGTCACCACGGACGGTACATGCACCTCATGTGTCACCACGGACGGTACGTGCAGCTCTGTCATCACGGACGGTACGTGCAGCTCTGTCACCACGGACGGTACGTGCAGCTCTGTCACCACGGACGGTACGTGTAGCTCCTCTGTCATCACGGACGGTTATCTTGAGGTTATCTTGAGATGATTTCGGGTCTTTTTTTTTTGTGTCCCCGCGGCCCGGTCCTCGACCAGGCCTCCACCCCCAGGAAGCAGCCCGTGACAGCTGACTAACACCCAGGTACCTATTTTACTGCTAGGTAACAGGGGCATAGGGTGAAAGAAACTCTGCCCATTGTTTCTCGCCGGCGCCTGGGATCGAACCCGGGACCACAAGATCACAAGTTCAGCGTGCTGTCCGCTCCGGCCGACCGGTACGTGCAGCTCTGTCACCACGGACGGTACGTGTACCTCATGTGTCACCACGGACGGTACGTGTACCTCATGTGTCACCACGGACGGTACATGCACCTCATGTGTCACCACGGACGGTACTTGCACCTCATGTGTCACCACGGACGGTACGTGTACCTCATGTGTCACCACGGACGGTACATGCACCTCATGTGTCACCACGGACGGTACATGCACCTCATGTGTCACCACGGACGGTACATGCACCTCATGTGTCACCACGGACGGTACGTGCACCTCATGTGTCACCACGGACGGTACATGTACCTCATGTGTCACCACAGACGGTACATGCACCTCATGTGTCACCACGGACGGTACATGCACCTCATGTGTCACCACGGACGGTACGTGCACCTCATGTGTCACCACGGACGGTACATGTACCTCATGTGT